GGAACCTAGGGGAGACCCAGGCCCTGTCTCCACACATAAAACTACAGAACTTGGGTCATAAGTGAAGGGCGCAGGGAACAGTCAGAAGGGTGTCTCCTGAGATGGCACTAAACACTAAATAGAACCAAACAAAGACAACAAAGGCCCTAAGCTCCAGCTTCCCCCCACACCGTTTCATGCGTGCGGGAAGTTTAAACCTGTGCTCAAACAATTTCTCCCTATAGGAATACTACCTCATAGCCCCCTCCAATAAGACCCAAACATGGCACTGGCCAGCCCTTGCCAGACCCAAGCACGGCACTGGCCAGTCCCTCCCAAACCCATAAATACAGCCCTCTCTCGCGGGCTCTCTCTCTCTCTCCCTCCCCTACCCTGCAGTTACAGACCCTTTTCCTTTTTTCCCTGTAGCCGCCGGTGCTTTAATAAATCTCTTGGAGCCGGCTTGGTGGCTCAGCCTGTAATCCCGCGCCTTTGGGAGGCTGAGGTGAGTGGATGGATAGAGCCCGCGGGTTCGAGACCCACCTGGGCAGTGAGACTTCATCTCTACAATAAATCAAAAAATCAGCCGGGCGTGGTAGCGCATGCCTGTAATTCTAGCTACTTGGAAGGCTGAGGCGGAAGGATTGCCGGAGCCCAGCAGGTCGAGGCTGCAGTGGCCGGGAGCGGCCACTGCACTCCAGTCTGGGCAACAGAGTGAGACTCCAACTCAAAAAAAATATATAAATAAATAAATAAATCTCTTGGTCTTTAACGGGTGTGGAGTTGTCGCTGGCGCCTGAGTTCTTTCAATAAGTGTTCATTTATCTTTACCAATGGATATGGAAAGCCATGAGTGACACACGCAGCAAGTATAGGGTGTTCCAATACTGGGCGGTGCCTGGTGCTGCTACATTACATCTGGGACAGACTTCTCCCTCACCCAAAGCTGTGTTCCCTTGTGTGGTGCCCGCCAGGATTCCTTTCACTCTCCTTGTGGCTCTCATCTGCTGATGCTCTGCTTCTTGGCCCCTAAGGGCTCTGGCAACTGCCCACAGGAAGCTTAAATTCAGCTGAGAAGATAAATATAACGTCTCTCCTTCCCTACTAGACTGGGGGGCTCCCTGAGAACAGGGTCTATTTTGTTTTGTTTGTCCTTGTCTCCAGCCTCATAAATTAGCATACAAAAACAATCAATAAGCTGGGTGCAATGGTACATGCCTATATCCCAGCCTCTTGGAGGCTGAAGCAGAAGGATCCCTTGAGCCCAGGAGTTCGTCTACCCCTGATAACATGACAAGAGCTCACCTCTAAAAAAGAAAAAAAGAAGTAATCAATAGGTATTGATAGGTATTGGATGACTGAGACTGATGGAAACATGGAACCAGACTAGAGGGGTAGGAAACACTGAAAAAATAGCATGTCAGCCAAGACAGGAAGGATGTGCGGAAGTTAGTGAGAACGGAGGATAGTGGTACTGGGAGAAGTGCAGCTTCCGGGCAGGAAGGGCAGTGTGTGTCAGCACCTGAGGGAGGAGGTCAGGAGTGCAGAGGCAAGGCTGGAGAGATGGCCCTGCTCTGAAGGCCTTGGGAACCACGTATGGACAGTGGGCTTCATTCTAGGGACCATGGGAAGCCACTGAAGGGTTTCAGGTAGGGCATATGATCTGAAAAATGTACATTTGTATCTTCAAAGAGATCCTCTGCATGCACATGACTGGGTTGGAGGGACCAAAGGCAGGGTACTAGTCCAAGAGAGTGATGATAGTGGCTGGAATGGGGATATGGTGTGAAGGCGGATGAAGGGGAGGAGTCAAGCATGACTCCCAGGCCTTTTTTTTTTTTTAAGTTGGAGTCTCACTCCATTGCCCAGGCTGGAGTACAGTGGCACACTCACGGCCACCCCAGAGTCGACTTGCTGGGCTCCAGCAATCGTTCTGCCTCAGTCTTCCAAGTACAGGAGTGCACTACCACGCCCGGCTAATTTTTGATTTATTGTAGAGACCAGGTCACCCCAAGTTGCCCGGGCTGGTCTCAAACCCATGGGCTCAGACAATCCACTTGCCTGGGCCTCCCAAAGTGCTGGGATTACAGGCTGAGCCACTGAGCCTGGCCACTGACTCCCAGGTCTTTGAACAACTGGTGGATAATTGTGGCATTTGCCGATAAGAAATAATGGAGGGACACGTTTTAGGGGAGCAGAGAGGATGAGTTCTGTTTCTGCCATGCTGAGTGCAAGATGCCTGTAAGCATCTGTGTTTATATCTGGGTGGGAAATTTTGTATCTGGGTATGCATCTTTGGAGAAGGAGCCAGATAAGGGATGCAAATCTGAGAGTGATCTGCATTTAGATGGTGACACCCAAGAGTCTGTGCAATGGCTGGGGAGAGTATAGACTAAGAAGGGCAGTGAGTCTTGGACCAAGAAACTCTCAGTGTGAAAAGACTGAGCTGAAAGAGCCTGGTGTCAAACCTGGAGAATCCTTAGAATCACCTGGGAAGTTTTTAAATATGTATCTTCAGGGAGATGTAACTACATAATATGTATTTTGAAAAATCTGTAGTAGCATTAGAAACCATTTGATAAAAGAGAATAACTGTCTAAGAGATGGTCAGGAGCTAGGAAAGAGAAAAACAAAATGATGGTGGTGTTTCAGATGCCAAAGGCAGAATTTCAGAAGGAAAGGAATCAGACAAGATCAGGACCGAATTTAGTAACAGGAAGCCAGATGGCGGTGCATCACTTGTCTGACTCCTTAAAATTAGAGAACTGGTGTTTGAACTCAATAAACATTTACTAAGGGATTACAGGAAGCAGCCCAGCAGAACTCCCCATGCTCACCTGCACAAGAGGATGGGGAAGGGGAAAGGGAAGGTTGATCAGATGGCAGAGCTTTTCATTGGAAGTAGAATCTGAACTGAGCAAAATGGACAGTAACCAGGCAAGGAGCTAAGCCTTCCTAGGAAAGGAAATAATGGAAACACAAGTATGATGAGTTAGGAACAATATATGCTCCAGGAAACAGAGTTAATCCCTGGCTGAAACACAAGGAATTAAGCGCGAGGAATGAAGGCAGAGCAGAGGGCAGAGCCCAATTATTAAGGACTTTATATACCAAGCTTAAAAGTTCTTTGGATGTTACCCTGAAGGTAAAAGGGCCTCAAAGAATGTAAGTGGCGTGATTAGATTTGTATTTAGAAAGCCCATTCTAGCAACTGGTGGACAGTCTGGGGTTAGGGATGGATTAGGAAAAAATCAAGGCCCAAACCTACACCTGAAGGCAGTGGCAGGGACGCAGACCCGGGATATAGATTCATCAGGGCAGGAGCAATGAAGGAATAAAGTGAGCTGAGGGGGTGAGGAATAAAGGAGGATGGGACATTAGAAAGGGTTTGCTTAGGTAACTGGCTGATTGGAGGTGTGAATCCTTGAGATAAGAACGATGGAAAAAAACTCTAAGTGAGGATGGGGTGGAGATGGGGTGTAGTAGAGAACACTTCAACTCTGGTAGGTTTATTCTTTTCTCAGTAACAGAATTATTAGTTTCCCTAACTGCTCAACATGCATGTACTCTCTTTCCTTTTCCCTCTAAGTCATTCTGTAACTTATTTCTTTCAAATATCCAGATTCATATATGCCACTTTCCTGTAATAAAGCATAGTTAAAAACACAGCAGCTTCTAACTAGTCACTGCAGGGAGTTTATTCATGTATTAATTACTTATTTTCAAAAATACATATAATGTACAAATGACATGCAAGGTACTGTGACTGGGGACAGATACATGAACAAGACATAACTGACCCCTGCCTCACAGAGATTACATTCTAGCAAGAGCCATCAAAGATCAACAACCCAATGATAAACCACTTAGTTGCATGTCATAGAGGTTCTGAAGAGATATAGACTAGAAAAAGGCAAAAAACAGGGGAGGGGCACTGAGGTTCATAAGTAGGTCTTAGCAGTTCTGTAACCTCCCTGAAATCTGTATATAAAATGTTGTTGGTGGAAGGAGAGGTCAGGAGGAAGGCATAGCTTCCATGATCAAAGGGGCTCGTGACTCCTAAAAGATAAAGAAACTTCGAGTCCATTTGGGCACTGTTTATATACAAACTTCTCCCGTGTGTAAGGCAGGGCCAAAGAGAAACTTGGCGGTCTGTCTAGTCCACTGAGAATGACCCTAACTTTACTCTTACAGACATAAAAAGTGATCACTCTGACTTAACGTAAGAAAAGACAACGCGATTTATCAATATTTTTTTTTGAGTCGGAGTCTCACTCTGTCGCCCAGACCGGAGTGCAGTGGCACGCTCTCAGCCACCACAGCCTCCACCCGCTGGGTTCCGGCGATCCTTCCGCCTCAGCCTTCCAAGTAGCTGGAATTACAGAAGCACGCCACCATGCCTGGCTAATTTTTGTGACTTATTGTAGAGATGAGGTCTCACCAAGTTGCCCAGGCTGGCCGCGAACCCGTTTGAGACCAGCCTGGTCAACCTGTTAAAAATTGATAACCGCGGTCAGACGCGGATTACAGGCTCAGCCGGTAATCTCAGCACTTTGGGAGGCCGAGGCGGGAGGACTGCCTGAACCCAGGGACTTGAGACCAGCCTGGTCAAATTGGCGAGATCGCTTGTCTCTACAATAAATTAAAAAAAAAAAAAAAGGAAAGTGGTGGCACGTGCCTGTGGTTCCGGCTACTTGGAAGGCTGGGGCGGAAGGATTGCCTGAGCCCAGCAGGTCGAGGTGCGGTGGCCGTGAGCGCGTGTCACTGCACTCCAGCTTGGGCGACAGTGAGACTCCGTCTCAAAAATAAAACTAGAACAAAAACAACCAAAAGTAGTTATTTTAAAAGATCGCAAGATGTTCTCTTTCCCCACCACTGGGAACTTCCAAGCACGTGCCACAAGGCACAGGCTCAGAGTGCAGGACACCGCCCCCTGTTCCCGGCCCGACGGAACAGGCGGATCCGAGCTCCGCCTTTTAGATCCCACCGAGAGAAGTTAGCGAAAGCCTTGCAAATCCAGGCCGGGTTTTCAGGCATCAAGGCGGAAGTAACCGGGAGACGGAAGTTACAGGGCCATCACTGAGCAAGGGGGTGGAGGGTAGCTGGAGGAAGACTCGGGGTGCGATGGCGGCTCAAATTCCAATTGTGGCCACCACTTCCACTCCCGGGATAATCCGGAGCAGCAAGAAGAGGCCGGCCAGCCCTTCCCACAACAGCAGCAGCGGAGGGAGCTATGGCGCCAGTAAGAAGAAAAAAGTGTCCACCCCCAGCTTTGCACAGGTACGCCGTGGCTCGCTCGGTCCGCGCCTGCGCCTGCGCGAGCGCGGAGCTGGGCGGGGCGGGGGCGAGCAGGGGATGCCTGCTCCGTGACTGGCGGGCGGGGCGGGGCCGAGCGGGGACGCTTGCGCAGTGACGGGCGGGGCCGAGCCGAGCGGAGACGCATGCGCAGGGCAGGGAGGGGCGGGTGCTATCTTCGCGTGCTCTGGTGGGTGCTGGTCCTTGGCGTAAATGATTGTTTTTTGCCCCCTTAGTTTGGACTCGTGGGCTTTGGTAAAAGAGTTACAGGCCTTGTGTTTTAAGGAAAGAAGAGAAGGTGAGCAGGTTATTACTGACTTAGAAGGACTGCCCCTGCCTGTCGACGTCGCCTTTAGAGAGAGGCTCAGGACTTGTCTGGGTGTCAGTCGTTCAGTAATTAGCGTTTCCCCCCTCGTTCATTCTACAGACATCTGCCTGATGTCTTTGAAGTGCAGAGCGTCCTAATGTCCTACACGAATGAGTACGCTTTCTCTCATCGTGAGGAAAGTGGTTTTTTTTACTCAAATCTTAAAGTGTGGGTGTGGCCCATCCCTTGGGGTTGTTGGGGTATGAGACAGTGATTGTAAAGCACTGAGCTCAGCGTTGGCTCAGATGTCAGGGCATCTGGGCAGTCCAGGTTCTGCAGTTTCAGCAAGGAATTTTTAGCAGAAAATGGCTTTGTTAGTGTTTTCTCTGGCTCCTGTGTTTTATTCAAATCAATAAAAGCTAGGATGGAGTGTGTTACTTTGTGCTCCTCAGTGTGTGGAGTGGCACCGTTCACCAGCCAGCGGCTGTTCTAGAAATGTTAACTGCCTGCCCCTTCCAAAGGTAGCGCTTCCTCCTCTTTTTAGTACTTTATTGAGGTAAGATTTACACACAGTACAATGCATAAACTTTGAGTACTGATTAGTGACTTTTTACATATGTATACACTTATGGCCACTGCCCAGATTAAGATAGCATTTCTAAGTGCCCCAGAAAATTCCCTGGTGAATGTTCCCTGTTACACTGTCCCTTCTCTGACAGAGGTGACCACTATTCTGCCATCTCTCCCAACTGACTTTGGTTTCAAACATAATGTAAGTGAAATCATACGAATATATTCTTTTGTGTTTGACCGGATTCCTGTTTGAAACAATGTTTTTGAGAGCCATTCATTCAGATAATCCGATACATTGTATAAACATACCACACCTGATGGATATTTGAGTGGTTTACAGTTTTTGCCTTTATGCTTATGCTGCTCTGAATATTCTTGTACAAGTCTTTGTGTGGATATAGCTTTTGTTTCTCTTAGAAGTAGTGGAGTTACTGGATCTGAAGGTAGACACACATTCAACTCAGAAACTGTTACAGTGTTTCCCAAAGTAGTGGCACTATTTTTGCATTCTCACTAGTACAATATGAGAGTTCCTGTTGCTCTGTATCCTCACTGATATCTAGCATTGTCAGTATTTTTAAATTTTAGCTGCTCTGTTGAGGGTGTAGTAGCATCTGATTGTTTTAATTTGTTTTTATAATTGCTAATGATATTTGCTAAAATAAAAAACTTAGACTAAATTAAACAGTTCAATTGAGCAAATAAAAATTCATGAATTGGGCAGCCCCCAAACTAGAAAGGTCCCAGAGGCTCCAGCTTGCCTCCCGACTGAAGAAAAAGGAAAGTGACATACAGAAAATGGAAATGAGGTACAGAAACAGCTGGATTGGTTACAGCTTGGCATTTGCCTTAGTTGAACACAATTTTAAAGGTTGGCAGCCTTTTTATAGTCAAAACTCGCTGATTGGCACAGGAGTAGGTTACAGTCACAGAGAAACCCTTAGGCCGAACTTAAAATAGGTAAGGAGGTAGCTTTAGGCTAAACTTAATGTAACTTACTGTTAAAAACATTAGACAAATATACAGTTTAATTAAGCAAAGCATGATTTGTGAATGGGGCAGCCCCCAAGCCTCAGAATTAGTTCAGAGAGACTCCAGTGCTGCTGTATGATTAAAGGCTTATCAACAGAAAAACATCAGTGACATACAGAAAACAGAGGTGAGGTACAGGAACAGCTGGATCAGTTACTGCTTAGCCATCGCCTTTTGAGCATTTGGCTGCCTTTGATTGGCAGAAATTCAGTGCTTGGTACAAGAGTAGGTTAGTGTGTTTGCACATCCACTTGGGTTACAGTTCATTATGTAGAAGAAACCTTTAGGCTGAACTTATATGTAAGGAGGCAGCTTTAGGCTAAACTTAATTTAATGTGTTTTTGACCATTCTAGTATCTTTTGTGAAGTGCCTGATTATTTTTTTCTAAGTTTTTAAAAAAATTATTGATGTGTAGGAGTTTGCTACGTGTTCTCTCTCTCTCTCTCTCTCTCTCTCTCTCTCTTTTAATTGAGGGTAACAAAACAAACAAAAAGAAAAAGACCAAACATGTAAAAATCCAGGGTGCTTAGGCTGGGCATGGTGACTCATACCTGTAATCCCAGCACTTTGGGAGGCCAAGGCAGGAGTTTGAGCCCAGGAGTTTAAGACCAGCCTAAGCAACATAGCAAGACCTCATCTCTGCAAAAAAAAAAAAAAAAAAAAAAAGAAAAAAAGTAATCAGCTGGGCATGGTGGTGTGTGCCTGTAGTCCCAGCTACTCCGGAGGCTAAGACTGAAGGATCGCCTGAGCCCAGGAATTGGAGGCTGTGGTAAGCCATGATCGTGCCACTGTACTCCAGCCTGGGTGACAGAATGAGACCCTGACTCAAACAAAAACCCAGGGTGCTAGAAATACAAACTCAATTCTTCAAATTCAAACTCATCCAGACCCTGGTCACAGACCCTAGGGAGGTACGTGTGAGCACCAAGTCAGGAAGCGGGGACAGGAGTGACTCTGGGGCAAAGACAAAGGGTGGGAAGGGGATCCCCCAGGTCATCTGGTGATCACCCCTCCCCAGGTGGTATCTCCACCTCCCAATGACAGTGAAGACACACCATGCACTGTCCTTTTGGCCCCCACCCCACCTGGGCCAGGGCTTCAAAGGCCAGTCCTGACAGGATCTACCCTCCCTCACACCATCCTCACTTGCTCAGGCTTCTAGCCTGGCTCTTCTCCTTCTTCCCCACGTTCCTTCCTGTGAGTAGCAGGAGATCAGGTGCATCGTGTAAGCCGCAGTGAAGCTGAGGGCCAGGGGAGGTGGGATAGAGACTGGATGAAGAGAGGAGTGTATCGAGGCCTCCTTCCTTCCTGGGATCCCAGACTGTACACGCAACTCCTCTTGCGCATCCACACGGGTCTGGGGAAGTGCATGTAGGCATAAGCAGCTATGTCGGAGGCCATGGCCCTGCTGGCCATCCCTTGGGGGGCCGGCTGGTGGGCCATGGCAGTGGCGGCAGCTTATTCCATGGGGTCAGGCTGCCACTGAGCACAGCCAAGGGGGTGCTGTACTGCCTTGCCCCGTCCATGTGCTTGTGCTGCACCAGGCCCTGGGAGTGTGCGGCAGACACATCGAAGACATTTGGCTGGCTGCTTCAGTGAGGGTGGAGGAGAACAGAGCCTGCTCATTGTGCCAGCGGAAGGCAAGCTGTGGTGGTTGGGTTTGGCTCCATTGTGGACTTTGGTTGGGGGATTCTAGGGTCCAGCAGCAGCTCCTGCTCCTCTCAGTCCTCCTCCTTGCTGTTGCAGCATCATTCTGTAGCTGGAGTCAGCTGGGCACTCAGGCCACACCATCGAGGAATGCAATTCTAGTCCTATGGGCCGTGGCTGCCTCCTGCAAGAAACTACCTGTCCCCTTCCCTCTCCTGCCCCCCTTAACTTTTGATTGGAGTCCTTTCTTCCAGTCTGTGAACAGTGCATTTTGATATCCAGTTGTGCCAGGACCAAGGAATGTAGTTAGTCCACACTGAGAGGAAGTGGCATTGATCAACTTTCATCAACACAAGTTTCCAAAAATGGCCAAATGCCTTCGGGAAGCTGGAAATCCCCAACAATCCAACATGGTGGAAATCCCAACTGTGACGGCCTCAGAACTGAGGGGATGGGCCTCCTCTATGTAAGCAGCAGCCTCAGGAGGGCTGAAGAGAGCAGGGCATTTCCCGGAATTCTTTTGTCTCAATGCTCCTTGTAGAGGTGCCATAGAGAGTTACCCTAATTCCACCCTCAGCATTCCACAAAGAAGGAAAAAACCTGGCTTCTGTGCCCTGAAAGGAGTCTTAGACTTTTGTCTTGCTCTAATCCTTCCATCCTAGTTCCTTGTTCCGCTACATAGGCTTCAGCACAGTGCTGCCCTGAGGGCTGAATGAGGGCTGCCTAGCATCTTCCTGAGGTCACCCTTATCTGTGTCTCTTGCTCGCCTTTCTCTTCTGTTTCAGTTCAGTTTAATCAGCAAGAATGTATTGACTTGTGTTTCTGTGATGGACCCAGAAGTATGCTTAAGACATTTCAAGGGATGATGCCTTGCCTCACCCATACCCCAAATTTCCCCAGGCAGAGAGAATGCATCCTACTTGTCTTCAGCTGTTGCTATTTCACATTGCCACACATCAGTGGTTTAAATAATACCTAGTTAGTTATTAACGCTTGGTTCTGTGGGTTAAAAGTCCTGACACAGCGTGACTGGGTTGACTGTCTGCTTAGGCATCACAAAGCTGAAATCAGTGTTGGTTGGGCTGAGTTCTTGTCTGAAGAACCTGGGGGGAAATTTGCGTGTCTCATTCAGGTTGTTGACAGAATTCAGTTATTTTGGGGCTGTGGGACTGAATCCCCATCCCCTTGCTGGCTGTCAACTGCTGTCTAGGGTCCCTGCCACACTCCCTCTTCCATCTTCAAAGCCAGCTATGGAGGATGGCCCTTATGTCTAATTGCTTTAATGCTTCAGATATTTCAGTCTTCACTTATTTCTGACCTCTGGACTTAGATTTAAAGGATTCATGTGATTAGGGAAGGCCCACTGGGATAATTGCTTTTGTTTAAGGTCCACTGATTTGAGACCTTTATTATATTAGCGAAGAT